TAGTAAGGGTATTTTGGTCATTTTAGGGTGCGGTATAATGAATTTGGGTGCGGTATTTAATGATTCAGTTTGTGTTTTGGCAATTTTATCTTGATCTTTGGGTAATCATAATATAATCTCGACTTCAATTTACATATTGCAAATTTAGGTGCAGAGTGATTGATTTTAGGGATTTGTACGCCTAAACTGTCAATTGCAGGAAAAAATGATGGTGAAAATCTTTCATTTTCTTGTTTTTCGAAAAAAATAAATAAGTAAATAAGCGTTAATTGCTGAATAAACTTTAACCTTTTTGCGTTTTGGCAATTTTATCCCGATTTTTTGGTAATTGTAATATAATCTCGACTTCAATTTAGTTATTGCAAAATTTGGGTGCAGAGTGATTGATCTTAGGGATTTTTGGATTGATTTTGTGTCCAAGTCTTTTATTGACACGAGTTTTTGCCCTCCACGTAGCAAGTTGACAATTTCCACGTACTCAATGTATATCCACGCACAAAGCCGAAAATTCCACGTCAATGTAAGCTACCGGTGATGAGTATCATCCTAAATCTGGAGTGAACCGGTAAATATAAGCTCCGATCTATTCGAACCGCCTTCAAATCGACCAGTTTTCTAAAGGTCCAATCAGTTTTAGGTTCGACTTGCAATAAGTAAATTGAGGTGGATATTATATTACAATTACCTAAAAATTGGGATAAAATTACCAAACGCAAAAAGGTTAAGGTTTATTTAACAATTAACCAAAAAAGTCGCTCCAAATACAAGTTCCTACAATAGTTATTTTTTCTCTATTCCTATATCGAGAAAAAAGAAAAACATGTTATAAAAGTAGAAAAAAACATTATATGAAATATATGTATAATTCATATGATATACTATATAAAATATATTAACTATTATAGTGAAATACAAAGATTATGCAAAATGTAATGCATTCATAATTATTTTAATAATTATGAAATAAGTATCAATAATTTTATTATATAATTAATATAAAATTTATGCGTAAAAATTGCAATTCTTTTTAATTGACAGTCTACTATCAACAGTTACAGATCATGTTTAATAAGCAGTTAGATGGTGGATACCAAGTAATAATAGAATTCTGATGAAGTTATTGTATAGTAAGAGCAACTTTAACGGGAGCTTTTTGGAGAGGTTTGAAAACCTCACTCCCACAACTTTACGGTTAAAAAGGAGAAATGGGAGCGTGGGGTTTGTAAAGCATGAGTGCAAATGTAAACCTGGTGTTGTGGTGTAGATGTGGGCCCCAAACATTTGATAAATGAATATACTAATATAAAAGTTTGTACAATGTGGGCCTCAAATATTTAATAAATGGATGCAATATGAAATTTAATTAGGCACCCACTGTACATGTTTTTTAATTCTTTCATTTAGTTTTAATTTTTATTATTTTATTTGGTTTTATTTTTTCCACATTTAGTTTAATTTAGTTTAATAAAGATGGTGAACCGCCTATCCAAACACATCAAGGTCATCCAACAAATTTTCGTCGCTACTTGCAAATACAAGCTGAAGCGCAAGACAGACATGTTCATCATCAACTTAGGCATGACTTAGTTGAACATATATGGAATGAACCTGATTATTAAGAGTAGTATATCGATCATGTATGAAAATTTTAATTTTTATCGCAATGCAGTTTTCGATATTTTATATTATTGTAAGGTTTATGTGTAATCGAATTTTCTTGTTATTTTCTTAATTTTTGTCGGCATGTAATTTTCGAAAAGTAGGCGCGGGGCTTACCATCTTTGGTTTATTTTATATTATTGTAAGTTTATGTGTAATAAATTTCACTTATTATTATTATTATTATTATTATTATTATTATTATTATTATTATTATTATTATTATTTTAATTGTACGTAAAATATATTTATTATGATATATAATAAATATGTTATTGTAAAAATTATGTGTAGTGTTTTCAATAAATATGAATTAAATTGATATATAAATTAAAGTAAGTGGGAAACATGTGGGGCAACTAAAAGAAGGTTTTTGAGGTTTATGGTTATTGGAGGTTTGTGATATTGGGAGTAAGACTGAGGTTTAGATGATGTGGAGTATTGGTCATGTAAAAAGTAAGGTTTATAAACCTTACCCAGTAAGGTTTATAAACCTTACCCATTAAGGAAGAACTGAAATCGCACTTTATCGATTATCTTGACCCGTTTGTCGCGTAGTTTATCACATAAATGTTCTGCACTTTATTGATTTTCTTAGCGTCTCTTTCACATAGTTGTCACATAAACATTTCACAATTTATCAATTATCTTTGTTTGTCCGTCGCATAGCCTATCGCATCATATGTTTCGCACATTAACTATATTTTTCGTCTGTGTCGCATTTCTTATCACATATGTTTCGCACTTTATAAATTTTCTTCGCTTGCCTGTCGCATATTGTATGGCATACTTATTTCGCATTTTATCCATTATTGACATGTCATTTGCGTGGTTTATCTCATAAATATATCACATTTATCAATTATCTTATCTTCCTCTCTTTTGCATAGTTGTCGCATAAACATTTCACACTTTATCAATTATCTTCGTCTGTCTGTCTCATACTTTATCGCAAACAAGCACACATACCAATAATTGGGGAGAAGAGAGAGCAATAAGACCACTATGGCGACTAATTCAAAGCTATTGTTGCCATATTGAGCTTCAACTCCTTCTCCGAAGACATGTCCAGGAAATCCAACGCATCTCTCGTAGCCCGCGGTAATCCTTCGACAGGGATGGTGAGTGTCGGCTGTGTAATTCGGGATCACTATGGTAACCAGGTGCATGGACTTTTGATGAATATCGACTTTTGTTTTATTATTGTAGCAGAACTATGGGGATTGTTTCAAGGCCTATTGTTGACCTGGGATATTGGTGCCCAGGAAGTGCAAGTGGAAGTTGATAACAAGAGTATCATTAATGTGGTCACGAATGACACTTGTAGCGGGCCTCATCGTGGGTTATTAATGGGTATTAAGGAGCTTTTGCGTCGTCAGTGGGTAGTGGTGATATACCATGGTTACCGAGAAGCGAATTGTGTGGCAGATTATTTAGCATCATTGGTGGCCAAGGGCCCGGGTGGGCTTCATCGGTTGGAGCGTCCTCCGCCGGGGGCGAGTTTATGATTGCAACATGATAGGATATGTGTATCTCATCCTCGGTCGGTTCTAGTTTAGGCTCGCGTAGCCTCGCTTATTGCACCAACACATTTAATTCTCATTCAGCGCCATCACTAAATACACAATCTCCATCTCATTAGATCAACCAACGAATTATCAAACCAATCACGTTCGATTCAGTCCACATCCTCATGAACAACTTTAAATCAAAAATTCGCTAACACTCATACATGTCAACACAATTACACAACACACTACTAAAAATCAAGAACAAAACCAAAAAAAAATATATTTTTTTTTTTTCAAAAAAATCAATAGGAACAACAATGACTACTTTGTTTAGTAGTAGATAATTCATCGATACGTATAATTTCCTTCTTCTCCAGTTTCAGTATCGTCTGATCAGCACTTGCCGACGTGGCATGATCATGATCGCTCATCTTGTTAGATTCCAACAAGCTCTTTTGATGAGTGATTTCGAAAATCCTTGTGATCATCTGTAAAAAAGCCTCCTCCACGTTCAAATTCTCCTTGGCTGAAGTCTCCATAAAAGAGAGGCTCTCAAGCTCGGCCAAACACTTGCCATCTTCCATATCCACCTCCCTCGACTTGGTTATATCCGATTTATTCCCGACAAGCACCACCACCATCTCGGGACTTCCGAATTGTCGCAATTCTTTTAGCCATTTTCTCAGGCTTTCGAAAGTCGACCTCCTTGTTATGTCGTACACGAGTAGGGCTCCTTGGGCACCACGGTAGTACGAACTTGTAATGGCTCGAAATCTGTTAAGTAATGAGAAATCTTGGACATGTTATAGTTTACCAAAATTATGTGAGCTTTTTTGATAAAAAATAAAAAAATAAAAAAAAATGAAGTGATTCTTAAGTTTATATGGAGAGTTTTGTAATCCAACGGGCTTGCATATTATTGTGGCAAAACTTGATGAGATAGATCATGCTTGTGAGTTCATCATTTTTTTTTTTTTGGTAGCCGGCCACGGTATTTGGAGTTATGCCCCGACTAATCCGTTGGTCGACCCGGTCGCACACCTGGTAGTGGTGGGTGAGTCTCCCAACAAGGATTTTCTACATCCACAAGGACTCGAACCCGAGACCTTTCTTAAGCGACATCAAGCTGCTTACCACTTGAGCCAACTCATGTTGATTGTGAGTTCATCATTTTGAACATATGTCTCGTGACGTGCTTTTTAAATTAATAATTGGTCTTAAATTGTATTCGATTTTGCACACATGAAAAATGTTTAAATTATTAAAAGTTATATGTATGAATGTAATCGTAAAATTAAAAATTAAATAATAGTATCGTGTTATTAAAATTTGTCATTAATAAAAATAAACATTATAATAATATTCAACTTTATCATTATATTGATCACATAACATGAAATAGATAATGTAAGTTTTATAAATTTGAGGGATCCTAACATATTAGTTATATTAAAAAGTACTATTATTATTATTATTATTATTATTATTATTATTATTATTATTATTATTATTATTATTATTATTATTATTATGTGTGCATTTTTTTAGAGATTTGGTTATACCATATTAGCTTATTAAATAATGGTTAATGAGACGCACAATTAATAGTACGTTATAGAATTTTTTTTTGCAATATAATATCTTTTATACTTATTGAACTTCGATGTATTATTTAGTGTGAATTATAGTTAGTTTAGTTTTAGTAATAACTATTGGGAGATGTTACGGTCCCGTTACGGAACCATTCCGTCAGGATTTGTAACCATTAGATCAATTATCCGCGACGGTTACATGATGATCTAACGGTTACAAATCTCAACGGAATGGTTCCGTAACGGGACCGTAACATTTCCCATAACTATTATATATATAGTAAATTAATTAGAACACTTTAATTAACCATTATGTTAAAAAAAATCATTAATTAAATTTCAGTTACAAGTTTTATTATAAAAACAAAATAAAAAGATTGGATCGTAACGAAAAAACTCAATAGTTTTATTAAATCTTTTGCTAGCGTATATATAGATTTAGGAAGATGTTACGGTTCCGTTACGGAACTATTTTATCGGAGTTTGTAACTGTTAGATCAACTATCCATGACGGTTACATGGTAGATCTAACAATTACAAATCCCGACGAAATAGTTCCATAACAGAACAGTACCATTTCCCATAGATTTAATTATCGAAACCATAGAAGTAACAAAAAATGAAAGCACATAACCTTTCTTGTCCAGCAGTGTCCCATATCTGAGCCTTGACCAGCTTATCACCCACCTTAACATTCCTGTATGCAAACTCAACCCCAATAGTAGGCTTTGACTCCAAACAGAACTCATCTTTTGCAAACCTTGATAAGAGATTAGATTTCCCGACGGCCGAGTCCCCGATAAGGACGGCCTTGAAAAGATAGTCGCAGTCTTCATCAAACGAATAATCGGCCATCGATGCACTATATGTAATCGTCGAGCAAATTAAATCGAAACCGATATATCGATTTTCGAGCGAAATTCTATCATATGGTTGATTATATATTATATACCAACCTGTTGTTATCTGTGTTAAGAAGCAAGAGTACAGAGACTTTGAACAATAATGCAAAAAGTTTTTTT